AGGAGCCTGTATACCTATGTGTGTATTTGAATACCCAGTATTGCCGGCAACATTGCAAACTACACTCGCACAATATTTAGAGTAATTCTAGATTCAAAGGAATGATTCACTCATTTACAATATTATTAAATATTTTCTGCGATATATGTCTTTTTACTTCTCCTCTCCCATTTCTATCGGAGTACAAATAATAAGTGATGGCTTAAGAAAATTATTGTAGAATTGCATTTATTGAATTTTTTGCTCTGTTTTGTAATGCAATCATAGTATCTTTTATACGCGCATATTAATAACACGCAGAGGGGCACTGGAGCAGTAGCACAAGAATAAAACCGAATTACCGTTCCAGATGAAAACAGATCAACCGGCCACAGCAGTGCAGCTTTGTGCAACAAATCTAACAAAAGCACAAAAACAACAATTCTCTGATGGATTTGCAACAAATGCACTTTTTATATGGCCACACTATGCTGTGGATGAAGAAAAGTATTCCTGTTGGATAGCTTCGAGTAAACCATTTGGTACTGACCACGAACAAGAAGTACCCGTTTCTCCATACATATTATATATTGTTTTTGTTTTATGTAGCGTGTAAGTTGGCTGGCATTTAAAGTAGTTAGTAAATAAAATCCGAAATGTAGGTGAAAAAAGTGGATATTGAGTGAAGAATTTCTGTTACTTTGGAGGGGGAATACTACTGCTAAATACTTTGTTGTTTTTATTGTTGTATTTTCATAGAACGGTGCAATGTTTCGCTAGAATGGCTTTCTTCTAATAGGTAGACTTGTATTTGAGTTCGTGTCTAACGCTTCGAATATGTTGCCTAATTTACCAAATATGTATTTCTTCTCATTTTTACCAATTTTGTTGAGATTAATTAACTAATTAACTTCAAACTTAATGTTTCATTTTAGTATAAATTAATGAATTCAAAAAATTAACATTTAGTATAGATTTAGTGCAGGTTTAATATTCAATTAAACAAATTTTTTAATAGTCTTAATGGGACACTTTCTACATTATTTCAAGCTTCACAGTAAATACAGTCTATAGTCTATGGAAAATTGAACCAGAATATCCTGTCCAAATTGCGAGTTTAGCTACAAATATTTATGTGGAGATAAATAACAATTAGATAGAAACAGTGTAATATATCGATTGTCAGATTAGTTTTTAAAATTTGGATTAGTCATTAACTGCGAAGAAACATTGCAAGACAAACAGATTTTGATTTTTCAAGGCCAAAAAGGAGAAAAATAATTTTTCTTCAAATGATAAAAATTTTAAAATATTTTCCTTTTGATTGTTTTTGACATGGAAGATGGATCAATGAAAAGTTATCATGAAATAAATTATTCTGTTAATTTGCATGAAGCAAATTAGAAGCGTCTGCGCCGTTTGTGAGACATTTTTTAATAACATTTTTTTTTTTAATAGTTTCTAGTTTGAATTAAAGTAATGTATTTTGTTTCTTTCAATTGGTCAGACGGTCTTATGCCTAACATCAAAATTCACTTCTTATCAGCTTTTCATCTGATAGATCCTTGACCGACAGACAACATATGTTTAACTGGTTTTTGAAAGTAGATAGACCGTTCAGAGACTTGTTTCATCTCAGTTTATTGGTTATATTTAGTTTATGTGTAAAGAATCAAATATATTGTACAATATTGATAAAAAAGATATCAAAATCTTTCGAATAGAAAATTAGCTTAGTATTACGATTCTTAACAGAAAGTAAAATACTTCCTATTATACTTATTAATTGTGATTAATTAATTGTAAAATTTACTTTAATTTGTATATAACATTTTTTTAAAAGAGATTAATTATAGTGTCAGAGTTATCATCAATTACTTTCAAACATCAAGGCACCATCAAACTAGATCTGTTATAAAAATGACTATAACATATATGTCAAGTGTTGTACAAAAATTAAAAGAACGACTATTTTGCAATATTAGGATTTATATGGTTCACAAAATAAAGGATTTCATAAGAAATAAATACAAAATATCTTCTACTACATCCTATAAAGCTCTATTTTTTTCTTCTGCATTTTAATCGTCATTATTACGTCAGAAAGACGTGGATGTTATATTCGACCTTAGTGATCTCGACATTTATTTGATGTTCCACTATTTTACTTAAATGCAGGATTCTTTAAAGAAAATTGAAACGCCTCAAACTAACAAAAAGTATTTAAATAGTTTATGTGATCAATCCACAGTATGAACAAAATGAAATATGCACAAAAGTTCTGGTTAACAGCTTCCCAAGACCAATGTGATCGGTGTGCTGGAACTATGGTAAGCTCTGAACTGAAATTCAATTAAGGTTTGGTTTAAAATCACGCTTTATAAAAATTCTTATATCTTCGTCTCAGAAACCAAGCTTGAAGCAACTTTAAGATTCGCAAAACGAAACGCTGGTATCCTAAATGATGTCGGAAGGTTCAGTAGTGTCTGATATTAATAGAGAACCATAAGTATATGTATAGCTTAAGGCCAGCTATTTTAAGCTAAATTGGTTATTAACTTCTGAATGTTAGATACCAGCAAAAAGTCTGAAGATTATATCGCATTGCACCACGTTAACAGATATAAAAAAATATCGGATTTGCTTTATAAAAATTCTGATATCTACGTCTCAGGAACTAATCGTCAAGCACTTTTAAGATTCGCAAAACGAAACGCTGGTATCCTAAATGATGTCTGCTGGAAGTTTCAGTAGTATATGATATTAGCTTTAGATTTTTTTTAGATTTTTAAAATGGGTTGGGAACTTGTCACCGCGTCACCGCGTCACTGCATTAATATATGATATTAATAGAGACCCATAAGTATATGTATAGCTTAAGGCCAGCTATTTTAAACTAAATTGGTTATTAACTTCTGAGTGTCAGATTCCAGCAAAAAATCTGAAGATTATATTATATATATTATATGAAGATTATATATCCTTATATTATAAGGATTTGATAGATAACAGCGTTGCGACTCTTTATGTTTCTCCAACTAATTCACTTTTGTTTTTATTCCAGTTTATTATCCTTATGTGATTCAAAGTATTTCATGCAGCACTAAGAATTGAATTGAATTGCTAAGACTTGTTGCTCTTTATTGTCTCTTTTTAGTAAAAGTGTCTATTTAGTATATTTTCTGTATGACGATAGACATACAAAATATTTGTGTACTGAAACTGTACACAGAAGAGAGTAATGATATCTTTTTATTGTCCACCAATGTCCAATATATATAAAAAGGTGTGCAGTTAACAATCAGATGCTAAAAACCTTCCATTAAAATATTTATGTTCTATAATAAAAACTTTCTACTTTATAAAAAAATAATTAAAAAAGACTCTTAACTTCTCGAATCACTACAACTGGTTTTGAGTGATCATCAGAAACTTGATGATTTGCTCTAAAAAAAATACAAATTTGCAGAAGTTAGTGAAGTATATATAGATATAGACAATATCGTTTTCTTATGAACTATAAAAGGAATAGCGAAAAATCATGATTTTTTTAAATATATTTTGTATTTGTATTAAATAGAAATTAACAGTTGCAACTTGAAACATGAAATACCTATAATAGTAATGGTCATTATATTATATCATTAATATATACACCCTATCATTATAGATAAGATCTATCTGTATGCATAAATCAGAGTCGACATAATATAACTTAGAATATCTGGATATCTTCAATTTTTTAGAAGAAGTTCCTCTATCTACCTCTTAGAGTCCTAAATCATTATAGTTAAAATCTATTTAGCAGTGACACTACAATTATTGAAATATATATATTGGTGTTAATAACAGAACTTTTATTATCTATTCATAGGTCAGATTCGGCGTGATATAGGTTTTAGTATCCGCATAGATTCAGCCTTTTAAAACAATTTTCATGGATTTTTGATTCTCCTGTTATCGAAATATATCTAATTGATATCAACACTTTAAATTTTAATGCATAGTTCGGGTTGGTGGTCATGGAATTAATTATGGTGCGAGCTGGGAAGGTCTTGAAAACAGTTCTTTGTTTGTTTATAAAAATGGGTGACAACAAGAATATATTTAATTTTTCTGGAAATAAAATTTAGAAATATTGTTAAGAATTGAAGGATCTTTACTGAATTTTGAAATTATGTTGTAGCATAAAAGTGTAGAGTTGTAATCCAGAACTCTATTAAATAAAAATATTTAAAGAATAGTATTTTTAAGAGTAAAAATCAATGGATAATTTTTTAAAATTAAAGTCATAAAAATATTTAAATATGAAAGAAGTCTACCTAATGTATGTCGCTAATATTATTACGAAAGATATAATCTTTTGAAAAAATATTTTTATGTAGCCATAAATATTTAATTAATCTCAACATAGGTTAAAAATATTAACGATGTATTTGTAGTAAAAAAATAGAAGACTTAATAATTAAATATGATAGCAAAATTTCATAAGTATTTTACTAAAATTTTATATAAATATTATTTTTATCCATAACTCCACTGAACTCAGTAGAAGTTTGTAGAATAAAAATATGCGTTATAAACAAAACAACATAAATAAGTAATTATATGGATTTTTATAGCAAAATTATGCCTCAAGTGGAAATGTCAAGCCAAATAACAGTTCAGCTATTAACATTTATCTACAAGTATATGTATATTTTATATTGCTAATGGATAATTAATAGAAAAAGTATTTTGTTGGTGGCATAGTTTGAAGACTAATTTAATAATTTGTTTAATTTATTTGACATAATTTTTTATAATTAGTTTGGAACAAGAAAAACTATAAAAAAATCAAAGATATGGTCAGCATAGAGCTTTCTCTGTAATTGACTCTTAAAACGGTTTCAACTTGATAAATATGCAATGAGCAATATTAAATAAAATGATTAATAATTAAATTGAGGAAAACTTGACAGAGCAAAATATTTTTTAATTTTTTTTTCGATAGACAAGATATTTTCTTATTTAACACTTACCAAATATCTTTGGAAGCAGCAACCAAAAGTTGTACACAATCTAAACAACCACGAGCCGCAGCATAATGCAGAGCTAATGCGCCTCCATTGGGTCTTTCAATTGATGAAATACTCCCAGAGTGCATTGAATCGTAGGAATCTATTTGATGAGCATGCATTTTATTGCTGGCATTTATATGAGGCGAAAAGTCTGTTGTAGTTCTAAAAAAAATAAATAATTATAAAAAATATTAGTTTAAAATAATAGAAAATTAAATTTAAAATAATAAAAAATTAATTTAATTTAAAACAATTATAAAAGTTACTTATATATAATTAATAAATTAAAAATAAATATTAATTTATTTATCTGTGTAAATAATACATTAGTATAGAAATATTTTAAATAAAAATATAATAAATATATATTTAAGTTTTTCTAGCTTTTGAATTTATTTCAAACTGACATTAACTAACACTAAATTAATTTAAGTATTTATTAGTTTTTAATTATTTAAATAATATTTTTAATAAATCTATTTTCTATAATTTTATAAGTATATAATTATATTACATAAGGTATAATTTTATTATAACTGAAATTTTTTCTACAAATTTCGAGTGAATCATAAAGCAAATCTAAAGCGGGTTAATTATAATTAATTATATACAGATTATCTTATTATTTATATATCAACACTTGTAGTTGACATGATGAAGTTGGAGAATGTGCTTGGAGAAAATAGGTGAAAGAAATGTAGTAGTACCTTCCTAGTACCTTTATTATTTGTTCATAGGGTCTATGGTAAAGTTAATTATAATTAATCATATACAGATTATATTTTTATTGAAAGGACAGCTTTTACAAATGCTAATAATTAAATTGTTTCTTAACAAGATCTATGATAAATTATTCATATCAAATAGAGTAGTAAGCAATGTTAACTAGAATGTAGATAGATGAAGTAAGAGGATGTTCTGGCTTAAAAAGCAGAGAAAATATTCTGTAAGTCAGAATCAATCATAGACATTTACAAATTTTAGAATTTGGCTTAGTCTTAAAGATTGTGTATAAGAAATATAAAAATATTGTTTAGAATAAGCACAAAATATTCTTAGATAAAAAAAAAACAAATCGAATATTACTAAATATTCATATTATAGAGAATAAGAAATAGTGCTTGTATAGATTTATTTCAAAAATACACTGTATTTATTCTCATTGATATATTAATTTATATATTTGAAAGATACACTTTCATAAATGAAGCAAACATAAATCTTGTTTATATTTGTAATGATTCAATATAAAATATTTTAATATTCGAAACGCTTTCAACTACTTTAATGCTTAATTAATTACTAAGTCGGTTTAATTAATATCATATGTTTTAAAAAAATATCTTACTTTTTCTTCATCTCATCTATATTTTTATCGAAAGTTTATCTCTCACAGAGTTGGTTTTAAAAATTGGTTCATTTTTATCTTCATTTAAAATGGATATTAAAAAATATTTTCAGGTTATTTTTGGTTAATTTGGTATAAGGTTAAAATGACAAATAACAATAATAAAATACCTTATATTATACTATTATTGATTGATTTCATATTATCACATCTGTTGATAATCTGTTACAATTTATTTCTTTAGAAGTGGTTAGTAGAAAATATTTAAATACTTCGAGATGAAATAAATCAATAATAACATTAATAAACTTTTTTTAATTTTCTTATTAATTATTAGAACTTAAAATCAGAATAACTTAAACACATAAGTGACATTATAAATAAAATTACTAGCCTTTAATAAAATATTAAACAAGATATTTTCATTAATTTTGACACAATATATATTAACTCATGTATGAAATTTAACGCTAATGAAGAATAAATTAAGATATTTATTAAATTAAACTATTTTCGAACATGCATATAAAATGCATATGTGCTCAGTTAATCGTCAATTCTACACTTTCGTAGCTTGTATCTAGGCTAGTTTTTTTTAAATACTTAATATCATTTATAATTGAAAAATAATTGTTGAAATATATTTAATAATTTGTTTCTATTCTTCTATATTAAAATGTTTTTAGTTTAAGAAAACTAGTGAACTTTCAACTGTGAACACTTTTTGGGAACAGTTACTTTATGCTTAAAATTTATAGCATATTTTTCGGGCAAAACAAAACTTTAAATCAAAGAAATTAAAAAATTAATTTTGTCTATTATTGCTTTGCATAATTTTTTTTAGATATATTTACATATATATATACTGATTATATTTGCAACATTTCTATTTTAATCTGTCAGTACGAAAGGTAGAAAATATATTATTTTATTAACAAAAATATTAATTCACAAAGAAACTAATAATGAAATTAAATAATAAAGTACTATAGTAATAAATATTATATTGAATAATACAAAAATAAAACTGAACGCAGAAAAGACTCGGGCAATTTTTATTACCAGGAAGCGCCGCCAAGCTCCCAGAAAATTAAAGGTAGAAGAACAAGAAATAGAATTGGCCGATACTCTCAAATACCTAGGCATAACCTTTGATAACAAGCATCAGGAGTGCAGGAAAGCACATTTCAAGTCCAAACGAGCTCAAGCTGCCCAAATATTACACTCCCTTCACCCGCTCATCAGCAGCAAAAAGCTCAACATAAAGAATAGAGTTAGCATATTTAAGCAAATTATTAACCAGGACTACTCTATGGCAGTATAGCGTTTTGCCAAGCGCCAAGCTCAACTTTAAAAATTCTTCAAAGAGGGCAATATATTGCCTTTAGAAAACTGGTTAACGCCCCATGGTATGTAAGAGGAGCCGATATCCACAGCGATCTGAGAGTGGATTCAGTTGAAAAATACATTAAAGATCGTTCTATGAAACTGTTCAATACAATTGACAGTCACAATAATCCAACACTCAGTATCCTAAAAATACAGCGAAATTTGATAAACACAGGTAGATACAAAGACATCAGATCCATCATATTATAAAGCCCCGTATTTAATGTGACTTAAAACTATCCACAGATAAAATAGAGTAAAGGTACTGATTCACCAACTCAGACATCTGAATATCATATCATAAAAATAAATATAGTAATAACAATATAAAATTATAAAAAATAATAAGATAAAATTAAATAGTGAAAAATTTATATCGAATTATATTTTTATTTCTCAACATATTTTATTAATAATACTTATAGAACTCTGAGAACTCTGCAGGAAACAATTATTATTCAGAAGGTTGGAAAGATACAACTATATAAATAGTATAAGCTATAATTTCATCAAATAGAACTGAAACATTAAATTATATGTAGATGCGTCTATACCTTGTAGATGCATTTCTTTCTGATTATAAATGACATTGCTTTATATAAAATTTTAAAAAAAAATTTATTAAGAGCCTGAAAGTATGCAACAACTTATTTCAGTTAATACAGAGATTCAAAATAACACAAATTAGATTCCACATGTACATATATTGATTTTACTTTATTTATTAGTTTTGCCTGTTTTTTTGATATTTTTAATTAGGTAGATATGGTAGGTAAATTATATCGGCGATCCTAAGGGATCCACTTACCGTATAATTAAAAACTTAAGGGTTAGAACTACTTAGAATTTTTGACAATGCTTATAATGCTATTCAGTGAGAGATCTTGCACTTCCCATCACATTGAGAGAGTTTGATTTCCTTATTGGAACGTGGCAAATTTGCATACCCATGTCTACATATCGTTGAGTCTTTTCATTTTTTATTAAAAAGTTTGGCACAGGAACAACTTAATGCCAGTTTGCATGAAACTTTTTTATTAAAATGATTTTAATTTTAAAAAAGTTTTTAATCTGGTAATGAACACATTTCTAAACATAATTTTTAACTACGATAGATATTGAAAATGTCAATACCATTAGACTTATGATGGAGATTTTTATATTTCAATTAAAGGCAGTTTATAAAAAAATAATCTAATGTCAATATCATTAGATTTATGATGGAGATTTATATATTTCAATTAAGATTATTTATAAAAAAAGTAATCTTAATATAAAGTTAAATTCAATTAAAACCTTCTCATTTGACTCAAGTACAATATGGCATTAGTACTTAACTAAGCTAAATATATACATAAAAATAAACAGCAGCCAAAGTGCCATTAACCACTCGAAAGCAGTTGATTCAAAGAAGTGCTACCGAACAGCAATAAAATAAGATATATGTAAAAATCAGAAAAAAAGTAAAAAATATAATTAAAATCTTACGAAAAAATATCTGCAGAAATATTTTTAATATTTTTAATATTTACTTTTAAACAAAATTATAGAATCTCTATACCATAGATGAGTTAACATATAATATGATGTTTGTATGTTTGTAATTGGATAGTACAAATTACATGATTTAACGCAACTATAAAACTATTTCATGAAACGCATAGCTACGAAAATTTATATTGCAACTTTTTAGACAAGATATACGTAGGCTGCCTTTTAAATCTTTAATTTTGACATTTCGGTTTGAAAGCAGTAGGAGAAATGATATAGATGGATCGGCAATATTGCATACCGGGCGATAGAGGCGTACTTGGGCATTAGTAGGACCAAAAAACATTCGAATCTGCCAAGTTCACTGAATAGATCCGTAAATGTGGATATTTTTTTATCATTATCTTGAAACTTAATATAAAAACAGATTTTCAAGGAGTGTATGACTAAAAGTTAACGCGTTTTAGTTGCTAAAAAATAGCTTTAATTAAGTTTAATTTATTTAATTGATTTATTTTTTTTTTTGAAAAATCAAGCCTATTATTCAATTGATCAAACTCACTTTCAATATTGAAATTATTCCATATATGTATGGATGTATGTATGTATAGTGAAAATGTATGCAAATCTTTTATGCAAATTTAAAAATTTCACACTTTTTTTTGCAAATTTTATTGTTTTTTTATGTTGTCAATTGTTTTTGTTTTTGAATTTGAATTTGTTTAAACAATAAAATAAAAACAATAAACGTTTTCGTTTGTATATTTTCTTTTAAGAAGGAAAGTAGATTTTCTATTTTTGTTGTTTTATTTTTTAATTTTTGAGATTCAACTACTTTCAATTATAGCTTTTTTCCATTTGCACTGGTTTTTTATTATTGTTTTATGGTAATTTCACTGACTTTCAGGTTATCTGCTGTGTTTTTAATTATTTCAAAATACAAACGCAGATTTTACGTTTTTCTGTAAAATATACAAATTCACAATTTCTCACACATGCACTCGATGGCTCGATGGCTTACTCGGCTACTCGGTGGGATGGTGAGATGGTGGCCCGGTGGCATATGTTTAACAGGTGTTTCGTTCCGTTGCTAAAGTTAAAAGTTAATAATTCAACAATTTAATAGAATTTAACAAAACGTGCCCTGCTTTACCTAACCTCACCGACGACCAATTCCATTGCCAGTAGCTGAGATTGGCTTCTTGGGCTTTTGGAATTTCGCTTCTTTTGCGCTCCAGTAACGTTCAGTTTTGGGCTTGCAAAAGAACGCAACAATGAAACGGTTTCTGTCTTGACAGTGTCGAAACCCGGCTTGAAAATTCATTACAAAAATACTTGAACAAGCTTAACACGAAGAAGAAGAAATTAATTATATTTCAAATTAAATTAAGTGCAGTAAAATGTGAGCCAAATGACGGCACTTAATTGCAACATTTTTTATTGTTTTGTTAACTGAAATTTATTTTTTCTTGCATTGTATAAATATTTCAGTGAAATAAATAGAAAAAAAAAGAAAATTATATAAAAAGTTAAATAAAATGTTATTTCCATCAACAAATACTATGTAGTTATTTATGACTTCTTTAAAGAGGTCTATCTTTAAATAATATATTAACATAAAAACACATATTTGAGCGTTTTTTGCAATACTCAAAATAAGTAACAATGCTCAATACTATCAATTTTACAATTAATAGTAAACAATGCAAGCTTTGGCTTTGTCGAAGCTCAAATACCTTTCACCACACAGATAGTTATATTATGCAAAGAAATTTGAAATCACTTACAAGTAATTTCACTCTCGATTCGTAATCGAGAAAATTGTGAAGCAAACTTTAATCCAAAAAGTGGGGAATCCAGAAAGATCTAAACTTGGATTCAGATGAATTCAAACTTGGATCCAGATGGATTCAAACTTGGATCCAGATAAATCCAAACTTGGAACCAGATGGATCCAAACTTGGATCCAGATGGATTCAAACTTGTATCTAGATAGATCCAAACTTGGATCCATATTAGGACAGACTAGGATATTTTTACAAAAATACTTTGCTAATGAACGCATTGTATGTCAAGCAATATTATTTGTCATAAAAACTGGTGTTCCCGAATATCTAAAAAGGACAAATAGAGTAACAACTAAAAAATCTGGCATTCAATGGTCTTACAAGATTCAAATTTAATTAAAGAATGCTTAATTCTCCTCAATAAAGTCAGTGAGGAAGCAAGATGGAACCAAACTTGGATCTAGATCTCTGGGTATACTAGGAGATTCGTACAAAAAAATTCTTATCATATGCAAATATCCAACTGTATGTTAAGCACTATTATTTGCCATAAAAACCAGTGTTTCTGAATGTCTATCAAACAAAAAAAGATTGACAACTATAATATCTGACATTCAAATGGTACAAGATTTATATTTATTTAAAAAATGCTTAAATCTTCTCCATCAGTCAGGACAATGAAACTAGGTTACTTTAGGCTTACTCATGCAGCACACGACAACAATGAAACGGTTGACTGTTTGTGGCATAAAGAGCCCAACGTCATATAATTTAAACTTAATCTTCTGTACCTTGGCATAGAAGCACACAAGTGGATAAACTCATATATTAGCTAAGATACTAGGATACATACATATAAGATACTCACAATTCAAAAATTACTCTATAAACTTTAAAAGCCAAAGGCAGTCTAAGAAAGTAATTAACCCAGCTTAGATAATCTCTAATAGATTCCTTACACAAAACCAAGAGAATATCATAATTTTCTCCAGATTTCTTAGAGGACAATGAAGTACAGTGCTAAGGTACAGTGTCCTCATAAAAACCTCAATAAAATGGAACTTTTAAAGACCAACATTTTTCTTATTTATGAAATGGATCTTAAAACCCCTAAACATATTCCCTGTAAATGTCCTAAACTGAACAGTAGCAGATTTTTTTATTTGGACAGGCTTATGGCTTTTTACAACATGTAAAATAATATAAAACCGTCAAAAGTGCTTAAAAGTTTAAAAAGTCTAATAATCGGTTAAAAAACCTGAAGTTAGCATAGAAGACCATAGGAGAACTGAGTACTCTGACCATCTGAGCATTAATTAACACCAAAATCATTGTAACTTAAAAGATTTGTTAAAGAAAATAAAGATTAAAGAGGAAATTTCCTAATTTCTTTACAAATGCTTTGATGCATATCTGTATGATGTACGGTCTCATTATATCTTCAGAAGTGTCTGTCTCAAAATTTTACGAATATTATTTACGCACAATTAAAAAATAATTTACAATGATATCTCCAGACACTTGAAACCCGATAACATATTAATGGGTGTTTATTTCAAAGTGACACATATCAACTTTATTTTCAAAAATAAATATAAAACAGGGTTTTGAATTGTTGAATTAAAATAATGTCTTTTAAGATGTTCATAAAAATTTTTGATATATCTGTGTTAGTGTCTTTCCATAATAAAAATATTATATACACAAGATATATGGACTTACTATAATAACATATAGGAATTGAAGATTAAAACTTTTTTCCAACTTCGGTTGAAATAAATACCTAATAGTTTTATTATTATTAAGGGTTGTGACACTGCGACCGTCGGATCTATTGTGCCTTTTTCTGGGCTTAGAATAGGTCTCTAAGTCCTGTTGCGTCAATAAAAATAAGTATAGAACCTACTTTACAGAGTTTTTTGGTCTCTTCCGTAAGAATATACATTCCCAGGAGCCCATTTCGTATATGCATTAGCGCGGGACATTCTAACAGCACATGTGTGGCCGATTCCTCATTCTCTTTACAGCATCTACAGTTTGTAACCGTATGCATATTCAGTCTCGTAAGACCTTATAATTTTTATCGGCACAAATAAAAATAGACATATAAAATATATATCCATTTGGTACAAAAGAGTAGGAGATATTCATACAGATATGGGAGTTGATTCGATCGAAAAATAAGTTCACAGACAGATACAAGGATATCAGATCCACCATTTCATAAAGTTCCCGTATTCAGTTATTCTTAGTGTGACTTAAAACTGTTCATAGGTAAAATAGAATCAAGGTGATGAATCACCAACACAGGTACACACGCATACATATATACTACTCAATATAAAGTTAATTGCTCTTCCTTAAATCTATTACATTGTAACGCTTTCTAAAATATCTTTCGCTAATGGGTCAACTTTAAATTCTAAGTTTGTTTAACAATGATTTGTGTTAACCATTTTCAGTTAAAAAGAGAAATTAAAATACTTGAATTAACCTCAGTTAATTAAATTCAATCCTAATTAAGCAGTAATGCTAAAGGGTTCCAAGCTTCATAAAATGAATGTATAGTCATTGATTTCAATTCTTTTAGTCACGGTACGGCATGTTGGTATGAGCCCATGGAAGTATTCAAAAGTTAATTATTTGCTGAATAAAAATCAGCAAAAAAGCAGATAAAAAAATGTAAATCTTACATTTGTTATAGCAAAGCACATAAAAGATTTTATATAATTTGCAAAAATACCATAAAAACATTTCTTCACCATTTGTTGTAGATGGCCGATGGCCGATGGTCGATGGTCTGGTAAATGGTAGGCAAATGGAAAAGATATTTTTACCAGCGAAGCTATTACTTAATCGAGCAATTAATCAACTTGTCCAGAGAAACAAATAACAGTTAATTATTTAAACCATTTAATTTCGGTCTGAATGGTAAAAGTAGTCGGAATACCTTAGTTTAATGGCGAGATCTCGACATTTCACACATGGCACAGTCGGACTATCAAATTGAGCATTCGTCGCACCATTCGCCAAAGTAGCGATGGCACCAGTGGCAGCATTAGCAGCATTAGCAGCATTAGCATTCGAAGTCTTTTTAACTTTCGCAAAGCCATGAGGCGCATTTTTAAGCTTGCGCTGCTCATCAACGCTTGTCAAACTTTCAGTTTCATCTTCGCTATCAAAATCCACAATAAGTTCATTGGAATCACTCGTAGCACTCGCAGCACAATCAACGCCAGCGGCAACTGCTACGCGATCGTATAACTGTTGACGTTGCGAATTGGACAATTTTGGTTTGAGCTGCATTTCACTATTGTTGTCGGTGCTGTTGGTGCTGCCAAATCCTCGCTTACTGAAATAGCCCAAATGATCTTCAACACTTGCATTTGCATCCAATAAAATGCGTTCGTAGGCCGCCGTATCGATTTCACTTATCGCGAATTTTTGCTCGAAAACGCGCGGTGGCAACTGACATTGACGTAGCACTTCCATGCGTTTATGCCGTAATTCGATGGAGAAGATAAGACGTACACGCACGAACCGGCGTAAATATTTATTGGAGCTACGGAAATGTTTGAGTTGGCGACGATTTTTGCGTAGTTCTAGTTTTTCTAAACGATTGAGTGATTTGGTGGCCACTGTTGTAGGCGTTACACCATCACTACTATAATCTGGCACTACTGTTAGGTCTACAGCGGATTTTTGACGTCGCCACGGTACTAGATCGAATTGACCGAATTTACGCGCACCTGTATGATTCCACGGATGGAAATTCGTTTCACCGGACACTAACGTATTGTTATAACGTAAAATCCAATCTGAATTGCTCGATGACGAAGTTTCACTTGAACGGCACTGATACTTATTTGAGGTAGTAGAGGTTTCTCTAACTGGTTGTTGTTGAGATTGTTGTTGTTGTTGTTGTGATTGTTTTTGTTTTTGTTGTAAGACAATAGAATTACGCGCACTTGCTGTCGGTTTACTGTGCTTGTAGCGCGGTACTAATTTTTGCTCTAACATTCGCGTATCCAGTCCAAAATCACGACGCAATAATTCGAGCTCTTTCGACGATGCGGCATACTGTGCCCCATTCCAAATCGTTACTGGTTGCCGTACACTCGAGCTGCGTACGCTCGAGAGTCGTGACATTTTTCACAAAATTTTTTTTATTAATATTTTTTTTTTTTGGTTTTTGGTTTTATTAATATTTTGTAGTTCTGAAATGAGAGCTCATTACACAAATTAGCTGATTTCCGGTTTATCGTGAAACTCTACTACTAGACCACTTCCGTTCATGGGTAGTCGCGTTGTTCCAGCGAGGAACAACAACGTCCGTTCGCTCAAACGAGTTTTCCGAAAATGATGACAAATAGCGGAGCAGCGATATGCAAAACCCTCCCAGCGCAGTTTTGTTTTGTTTGAAATAATTTTTTTTTTTTTTGGTCTTTGGCTGGCCTTTGTTTTTGTTTTTCTTACCAACATGCATTTTATTGTTGGTTTTCACAAAGAGAGAGGGACGGACGCCTAGCATAAAGTGAGCTTTTGTTGTCATTAATGTTGTTTTTTCTGCATATTATTTTTTTTCGTCAATTTTTTTTAAGGTTAGAAAAATACAAACAACAACAACAACAACTAATGAAATAGCATTTAATCGTTTGTAAAAAAATGCGTGTTATTTGTTGCTGTTAATACTATTATAATGTTTTAGTATCAGTCGTTGTTGTTGTTGTTGTTGTCGGCAGTTATGTCGCTACTTAGTTCGTATAGCTTTTCATAGGCATTTAAGCGGTTTCAGTTGGTTGCGCACGCGCCATTCATTGCGCTCAGTGCCTCTAACATTGCATATAAATTTGTGACAATATTCATCGTTGTTGTTGTCTTTTTTGTTGTTTGTGTTTTTTGTTGTTAATTTTTGTTGTTGTTTTAAATATTATATTTGTGATTGTTTAGAGTGTATTGTTAAAATATTCTGCATTTTACCCACCCTCAATAAAGGAATGTATGTTTTTTTTAGATGCAAAAAAAATAAAGAATGTGCCCGTCAGTCATATTGCTATAAAAATAACTTGGAGAGATTGGTATAACCATCAAAACCCAGTTTTCAGTTATATGTTGTTACTTTAAGATATATAAATAAAAAAACGAGTTGATATATTAAATGTATTTATTAAAAGTTAATAAATATCAGGGGTTAGTCTTTATATTAATATTTTTTTTTTTTTATTTTTGTCTAACAAAAATACAAATTTCTAACCTACGATCTATGTGGCCGAAAGAAAAAGACAAAATTAACAAGTTCTCACTACTTGCACAGGTGAACAGGGTAAGGTATAGATTAGGCTGCAACTATTTGAAAACGTTTTTGGAAGTATCAGAAATTTATATTGAAAACCTCAAAAACATTACAGTTTTAAAATGATGTGGTTACCTCTAGAATCAGCAAGGTTAGATATACACCATAGAAACTCTTTTTACTAAATTACCAAGAATCGAGACATCTAATTAAGACCCTATAGATTTGTACAAAACATAAAAAGGTTATTGATATAAGAAAATTTTGCAGAAATGTTGAAACAGATTTGGTCTTCAGGAAAATTTTTTGAATAATCAACTTTGACCATCATATGATTAATTTTATGATCTATGATTTTATAATCCTATGATTCTGATAGTCTAATAGTAAATCTAAATCTAAAGAATGTAAAAAGGGTAATGAAATATTTAATTTTATTAGAGTTGTCTCTCTCAGGGTTTCTCAGGATCCTATTTTTAGTTAAACTTAAATTAAACTTGATTAAAATGATTGTGATACTTAGAATTTTTCTTTGTAATTTTTTTTTGTGCTTTGCAAAAAAAGAAGACTTTTAAACTTAATAAGAAAAAAGTTTAGTGGGAAATACTACACGTAACACATAAAAAAATATCGAAGTAATGAACAAAAGACTACCTAACACTATAAACATAAAAGTAAGAACAGTCATCCTACAATTCATTTTGTAACCCTAAAAAAAAATAAAATATATTTCTATGGTTTTAGTCCATAGAGTTGTGAGCAAAAGAGATAATGGCATACTACAACCTACAAAATATATTGAGAAATATTTAATATGATATACTGGGCTTCTGTAGATTTTAAATGAACCAGTTTGTTTTAGTACATTATTTACAAGAGAAATAAATAGTTGATCAATATAGTTGTTAATAGAATATGTTATGAGGTTGAGCAGTTCAATAGTTAACAGTTTATTTTACTTCAGTAGTTTATTAAAGATACAATATGCATTTTATACAGAAACATATAAAATATAGTAGAAAATAATAGTGTTCTGGATAGATGGTGGAGCGGAGCACTACAACTACAATAGATGTTTTGTACAACTGAGTCTAACCAAAAAAAAAGACATTCAGCCTATCAAACGATGAGCGGGATGTCTGCCATTGAAGATTTTGTAATATTAAACCTGAATAGAAGCGCCGGGTCTAGTATTCATACATGAAATTTTCTAGTTTAAAAAAATATACAGTGATATACTAATTATTACAAAAGCGATTACAAGATTGATTAAAAAAAATAATGTATGAAAAACATGGACATGAAGTGATAGCAATTTGCTCTTTTTCACTTGTATTAGTCAAAAATAAAAAAGGAAAGAAGAATAGAGAGGAGAGATAGAGAGGAAAGATTGAGAGAAAGATAGAAAGGAATGATAGAAAGGAATGATAGAAAGAAAGAATAGATAGATGGAATAAATAGACAGAATAGATAGAAAATGAAATTAGAAAAGTTAGATAGAAATGAAAGATATAAACAAAAGATTGACGGGATAGATAGAAAGGAAAAATAAAAAGAAAGATAAAAAGGAAAGATATAAAAGATTGATAGATAGATGGCATAGATAAAAGAAGGAAAGATAATAAGAAAAGATACAATGCATAGATAGACGGAATAGATAGAAACGAAAGATAGAAAGAAGGATAGATAAAAAGGAAAAAATAAAAACAAAATAACAGAAAGGAAAGACTAGCTCGAAAGGAAAGATAGAAATAAAATGAAATTCTGTAGTTTACTTAATCAAATTAACAAACTTGAATTTTTCTTTAAGTTACTAATTGCAGCTATTCAAATTTGAAAAATAAATATATTCATTAAAATGAACTTGATTGCTCATCTACTAATTAAATAGCCGGAGAGTAAGGAGAAGCTATAGCCAGAGAGTAGACAAGTTCAGACTTCAAATGTAGGTGTCACTACATTTGACTATATAGATTGTCGTATATAAGTTATATAAGTTTCTAAATATTATTATTTGGGTTTTCCAATCACAATTAGTATTCGACGTGCTTAATGGTTAAAGATTCATTGAGATTTATAAATAAAATCACTATGATACCCCAATTATTATGTTGAGGCTAGTTGAGTCAGTGCACCTGAGCACTTTTATTCTCTATTAACTGCGAGCTTTCTTCAAAACCCCTCTTTGCGCCTTGACTAGATTATTATTAATCACTTCATCAGACTAAGCAATAATTGACCTCAGATCTGCATTTCTCCCCGAGGAGCCTGTAACTATTCTGAGATTTGTTAACGCGATGTTTGTAAGTCTGTCAGATTTCGCAAATAATTTCAGGGCTTTATCCTTTATGTATTTTTTGATGGGAGCAATCTTGGTGTCCCTGAGGATGTCATTCGTCTCAATGTACCATGGAACTTTGAAAAGTCTTCTCAGAACCTGATTAATTTATATCAAAATCAATAAGTAATTCTAAGACTTTATTATTTTGTCATCTTAAAAGTCGTTTCTCTCGATATCTTTGAATCTGTAAGTGGTCAGTGTTCTTTAATCTCATGTCTTGCCTTAGCTCTAAGGCAAGCAGTTTGGAAGCTTATAGCAATTTGTTTTCACTTTCTTGTTAAACGACAAGATTAAAATTTAAATATATATTGTAAACATTTCTTTGACAAAAAAATTATGTTAATAAATGTTTTTTTTTTTTAATTAAAAAAAAAAAGTCAACTTCGCATGAGGCAATTGCTTTATTAAAAGCCAAAATTACTTGAAGTATCTTAAGCAACGATTTCAATTATTTTTCATTTGAGATGCGTGCAATAATAGTTTTGCTGCTCATAAGAAAAAGATTAATTGCAAAATATACAAATTTACCTTAAATTGGACTAAAAGTAAAAAGGCACAGCAGATAAATCATCACAATTTTTTTTTTCTCCAAGTAAAAAAATTTTGAAGTTCAGGTTGATGGATGTTTATGTCACCTTATGCTTGACTTATTTTAAACTGAGCTTAACATAAGGCAACAATAACAAAAACAATTACAGTAACAACAATAAACATAAACAATCTAACAATGTTGTTGTTTGCAACACAAAACGAACAAAATAGCAAAATAGTATCTTTTTTTTTTCAGGCGCACAAAGTGTTAAATTGTTGAAAGTAAAAATGCGAGATACTCGCACAAAGTATCTATGCGTCTAATTGTGTAATTAAGATATTTGAACAGATATAACAGATATTCAACAAAAAAAAAAAATAGTGAATAAAATAATTTTTTGATTTTTGAAACTTGACAAAATTGTGTTATTATTTTTTTAGTGTCAATGTTTGTATCTTCTTTGTGGCTCATTGTTTGGTATTGAATTACGTTTTTCCGCTTGAGTGCATCTTTAATGTTCGATTTGTTTCATTATTCAATGATTTTTTTATTTAATTTTATTTTTATTGTACCTTCGCTTAAATAGAACAAACATATTTTTTGTATGAAATCGAATTTCCGTATATTTTTTTCGCAGATTTTGTATCTATGGTTTCCTCATTGCTTTGTAGCACCTGCTGAAGTTGTGTACTGCGTGAAACACAATTAAGTGGGGCTTGTAACGAGAACCGTCATCATTGAACCTGAAAGTCAATTATTCATGGTTCCATTAACATTAACTAAATGATTATAAACAATATTATGGGGGTACTGTGTTGTGTTGCAAATAGCAGAGATTATATCAAATAGTTACACTGTATTTTGAGGGCAATATTATGGGAATTTCCAAAATGTAAATTTTTCTGGAAATTCGATATATTAATAAAATGAATTGAGTATAACATATGTAGTGATACTTTGTAAATAGAATACATTATATATTATATTTATTTAACATGCCAACAGAACTTGTTAGATACATAGTTCAATAAATTAGACTCAAGCACGTAGACAGAGAGGGTATTGCAATAATGCGAAGTATATATATTATACAGACTTATTTAAAAACCCTTAAGTGAAAAATACATTAAGAACCCTATTAAGCGCTTCGAGAACTACAACAAACTTTTAGCCTATTGGTATATTTAATCACATATAATTTAGTAAAGCTATATGACATTAATTAATTTATATGATTTTCAATCTATTACGATAGTTCCAATTCTGGGGTTTTTCCAGCAAGAAATACTATCTGCAACTAACCAGCGTTTGTGAAATAAAGTACTACAGTGGTCTCCACCGTGACCTTGGTATGCCTATAGTCGACGACGTGGCTAGAAGGTGTACCGTTGCTCACAACGGCGTTTGATTTATATGATTTTCAATCCATTACGATAGTTCCAATTCTGGGGTTGTGCCAGCAAGAAACAGTATCTGCAACTATCCAGCGCTTGCAAAATAAAGTACTACGTTAAGTCGTAAATGTTTCATACTACATTAGGAACAGTAGTCTCCAACGTGACCTTGGTATGCCAATACTTGACGACGTGGCTAGAAGGTGTACCGTTGCTCACAAACAGCGTTTGATTTATATAACTTTCAACCCATTACGATAGCTCCAATTATGGGGTTGTGCCAGCAAGAAACACTATCTGCAACTATCCAGCGCTTGTGAAATAAAGTACTACGTTACGTCGTAAATGCTTCATACTACATTAGAAACAGTGGCATCCACCGTGACCTTGGTATGCCAATAGTCCACAACGTGGCTAAAAGGTGTGCCGTTGCTCACAAATAGCGTTTGAAAACACATGTCAACGTTACAGCATCCACTCTTCTCCAGGTGATTGCACTATCTAGATGGCTAAAAAGGAAAACAGTGGCAGACCTTATGGTCAGTGAGTAGCAAAATAGCTTTGCTTTTACCTTAAATATTCCAATACAATTGCTTATTAGTACCTCTTATTTGTTATTTGTGTAATATTAAAAGGTGCAATATTAAAATTGTTCTTTGTTTATATTTTAAGAATCATTAATAGTTAATAATAAAAAAAAATTACGCTAGCTCCAGAAACTACAAATTCAATGAATAATATAGACTTTGAAAAATCCTCAAGTTTAAAATATATAAAACCCTAGTCTTTAACTGAGAACTATAATAAATTCATAGGTTGTTTTTTTTTTAAATTAGCAGGCTATGTAGATAAAGGACGAACAAATTTCAACGAATATCATTGCGTTATTAACGATGATATAAGGTTATGTAGATGTATCATTAAATGATACACTATAGTTCTGAGAAAACGCTTTGATATATGTTTTTTATACTCATATATAAAAGTATTGTCATCTTGCCGACATTCTCTAGTATTCTTCAACTCTAGAATTCTTCAAAAAAAAAATATTTCTCAGTTATAATAATGAATTAATGGATTTAATATTTTAACAGAATATGTAAGTTCTTATAAATTATATATTAGAGACAATATTTACCCTGTTCTTTCGCTGCTTTCTCTTGTACATTCACTTGACCATCATTTCTCAAAATAAATTAATATTAATAAGTTGTGACAATTTCCCATAAAAATTAAATAAATTCTCACAAGACAAACAAAAAAAAAAGGGAATGGAAAATAATTTACTATCGTTTTTTGTTTCTGATTTGTTACACTTTTTATGGACTTCCCGTTTTTCAATGAGAAAAAGTGACAAATTAAGAAAATTTTACAGCTACCCAGACATTTACGACTAAATAAATGGAAAATAAATTATGTGAGAAATAATTAAAGTGGGTGTAAAAGTTGTAAAAAAAAAAAATTAGGTATTTATTCACGTAATTGAAATTATGGTTATGTTAATTCATTAAAGAGATCAAGCTATAGTATAGTTATAGCTTACATAACAATATTACTAAAATCATTTTTATTCTGAATTAAATTTTGATTTAAAATGTATCTCACAGAAATGTGTGTAGTCAACTTATGTAGATTGCAGACTTTGTTTCAAAACACACTTAAAGTAACGCCCTTCAAATTTACAATATCTTATTCTAATTAAAGTCAGACTCAGTAGGTTACAAAGATACTTTCTAAATTCTTGTTGCTTTAGTTTCGAAATCAGTGAGGTTGTATGTATTCCCTCTGTCAGCATATGCAATATCTATGAAGTCGCATTCATCCTTAAACAAATTGTTGAAACAGTCCCAAGCCTTCACATCTATTGGATGATGCTGTGGAAGTGAGACCCGTAGGAATGTCGGTGGATTTACCAGCGTTCGCAAACAGAGATTTTTTCCTTGCCCTTATATACACAAATTTTTAAAGGTGGACAATCTATTCTAAATTTTGTTCAAAATGACTTCCAAAAGATGGACACATTTGTTAGCTCTGAACATAAAAGTATAGATGAATTAAACAACTGTGAACTGTTTAATTCAGTATTCAATTGAGGCGGTTTCTGACCTGGCATGTTTGTTTGCGTGACTATTTAAACGGATTCGTAAGTGCAATTTCAATTCATATTTCTGTTGAGATAAAGTTGGCAGTTTAGAACACTTAATTGAAGAGTGGATCGTATTCGTAGATATTAGATAAAAAGTAGAAACTCTAAGCTCTTCTTCCATAGTGGAGCAGATGAAAACAAGAAGCAGTGCAGAGTTGAATCTGAACTAGATAATTTTTTTTTGGAGCGTTTAAGATCATTAAACGTATGAATAAATATCTCAATTGGTTCCTCACAGACTTATGTGCGCAGAATAGTTTCTTCTTAATTGGTAGGCATTTATGACTTAAATATTTGTACGTCTTCCACATTTACTATAAGAAAATATAATAAAAACGTATGTGGGAAGAAATATTCAATTATTACAAGGGAAAATGAAGTTTTTTCTGGAGGCAGAAATATTTACAAATTTGCAAATAATAGGATTTGATGGGTTCAATACAGTTATTTGGCTAGCGATTCGTTTTGTTATATTTTTATTGTTAAAGTAAAAGCC